TATATATATATATGTTACTTTCTCCACACTTCGAATTTATCCTTGTAAAATAGAGTTCAAGGGAATTTCTCGCAAAGGACTCCGAGGAAGTTGATGAAAAAATGAAAATTAAAGAAGCAGTTGCTGAGAAGAATCGCGGCTATGCAGATAACGGCGAATTAAATGAAGATTTGACGTGTTGAGCATTTTGCTGGGACTTGCGATCTGTCCGATAAGGAACTATAAGGCCGGCCAGTCAGCCAGGCAGGCAGTCGGCCACGTTGACAGATGCTGTTGCCACTCGTCCGATGGTATATGTATTATTGTTAGAATTATATGGCTACGTTAGCATGACGCGAGCAAAGCGTTGACTGCAAATTTATTCATTGCTCAACAAAGGATTGTTGCAGTTCTTGTTTCTGCTATTGTTTCGGTTGCTATTCCTGTAACTTCTGATTGCCGCCTTTGTTGTTATCGTTATTATCGTTGTCAGTGGCATTGCTGTTGTTATTGTTCTTGTTGCTTTTGTCGTTGTTGTTGTTCGGGAAAGGAAGTGAAGGGTTTGACAACGTTGTCGCAACAGAATCTGTACATATATGAGTTCCGTAAAGGAAGATACTACCGAACATTCAGCAACACCGGACAGTCAGACGCCGGTTGCAAAAGGTTTCAGTGTTCACCTTAACGTTGCTTTTTACTGCTTCAAAAATAGATTTTAAAAAAAGCGGGAGAAGAGGAAACAAAGATACTGGACTAAGTCTCAATAATTTTTTTCATTTTATTTTTCAGTATTTCGGCAGTTTTTTGGCTTCTATCGTTCTGTTATTTTGTGCTTTACCTGTTCTTTTATTTTTGTTCAGAAATCTGATTTGTTGTTAGGTTATATAGAGTAATTTTTTGAGAAAAATCTTTAGACAGATACGTTAAACAACTGCAAGGGGAAAACGAAATAAAAGTGGGGTTGATGAGAAAAGTGTGTTTTAATCTTAAAAAAATTGCAAATTATGCAAAAGTAGGGTTTTATGAGAATGTTTCTTATTTTTTTCTTTTCCGTTTCTGCTATTTTTTCTCCAAAAGGAGAGGCATCTAACGTTCTTTTTAAAGTTTGTTTTGCATGAAGTTACTTTAGTCTGTTTCAGATTGTCTTTTGATTATAGTTCACTTTTCTTCTCCTTGTTTTGTAAGATGATTATATTGTCAATAATTAAAAAAGGAGAAAGACGGCTAACTTCTGCTTTTTTTTGTTGCTTTTTTAGGTAACAGAAAGGAGGAAGAGATGAAAAGCGGGCTCCAGGAATCGTTGACATCGAAGTATATCAAAATTATATCTGCAGTCACCGCGTACTGGTTAGTTTTTGCTAATCATGCTTTTTGGAACTTGTGAATTGAGCGTTTTTTTATCCGCTTATCTTTTATTTATTTATTTTTTTTAACGGAATAATTGCGGATTCTAAATGAAAATTTTTGGTGTAGATTTCCGTTTGAAAATTTAGAAATTATTGAATAATTTTTTTACTGTTATTGGGTGGTAGAGAGTTGCTGAACTTGTTTAAAACACAGAAGTTATAGGGCATTTAGTAGTTCAAATAATTAGTTAATTACCAGTAAGGAGAATAAACTTTGTCAAAGTTTTTGAATTTGTATTTTTTGTATTGTTATTTTTTTTTAGGACCTGCTCAATTGGCCTTGTCTTCCTGAATAAGTATCTGCTAAGTAATGATGTAAGGGCTATTTTGCTATCTATTATTAGTTATTTAGTTAATATTCGATATTTTTTGTTAGCTCTCGATTAATTGAATAAGGCATTATATTTAGAAGTCGCTTCCAAAAATAATGTTTGTTAGAAAAGTAAGATGTCTATTTTTTTAATCAAAAGTAGAAAGAAATTTAAAGGAGTTTTGTGTCTGGTTCCTAATGAACAACATTATTTGAAAACGTGAAAGCTTTCTTGAGTTTATGATTATTTTTCGGAACGAAATTATTGTGCAGTACTTTTTTTGTGCAGAATTGTGTCGTTTTAGGTATGACGATTTTTTAATTTCTCTACAGCTGCAGGATCAATAAAAATAATTGTCTTCCTTGCAGTAAATGTTACTTTCTCAATCTTATTTCAGTTAAATGCACCACTTTTTGTTACTTGGTATCAGTGTGTTGTAACAGTTGCTCTGTGTTATGGTTGTTCATATGCTGCTAATTTCTTTCCGTCATGGTTCTCATTCCCGACAATCAAATTTGATTATCGCATATCGCGAGAGGTTTGCTTAATGTGGATCTTGTTTTTTTCAGCGTTTAATAAAAACATTATACAAGAAGCGCTTTTTCTTATTACTGTTATCTTTCAGGTTCTTCCTCTATCGTTTGTATTTGTTGCGATGATTGCCTTCAATAACCTGTGTCTTAAATATGTTGACGTTTCTTTCTATTATATAGGAAGGTCTCTTACTACAGTCTTCAATGTTGTAGGTATTTTTTTCTATTATTTTTTTTTTGATTATTTGTTTATGGGTTCTCGACTGACTTAACCTTCTATCATTTTATCCAGATATGTACCTACTTGATATTGGGTCAGACTACATCGTCCAAGGCTATTCTTTGCTGCGTATCAATCATTGGTGGTTTTCTACTAGGTGTCAATCAAGAAGATGTAGCGGGTAAATATCGCTTGATTTCACTTAAATAGTCCTTATCTAACTGGATAAATTTAAATGACACTGTTTTTTTGCTTCGGCTTATCTAAAAGTAACATGAAAGCTCCGAACGGGAACTCCAGACATTAAGATTATTTTTTAAAGGGAAGATTTTTAGGCTCTCTTTCGGCTGTAGGAGTATTTTATGGTGTAATGGCTTCTTTGTTTGTTGCACTTAATGCGATTTTTACTCAGCGTACTCTCCCTGCTGTTGGCGACAGTGTTGCTCGGTTAACTATGTAAGTAAATAGGCTTAAATATACAAAAAGTTTTCCGTCTTTTTTTTATCCATTTTGTTCCTGGCTTAAGGTTCTGTTTTTTATTCTACGAAGAGATTTACAGGTACAATAATGCTAATGCTGCTTTCTTGTTTGTTCCCCTCATGTTGTTTTCGGGTGAATTTGGTCAGGTGTTCTATTATCCACAGTTGTTTGCATTTAAGTTTTGGTTCCTCATGAGCTTATCTGGGGTCTTCGGTTTTATGATGGGATATGTAACTGGCTGGCAGATACAAGTAATTTGTTAAATTAAATTGATTTGCTTTTCTCCTCTATTAATATTTTTGCTATAACCTGTTTATTAACTCTTTATCTTTACTGATACTAAGTTTGTTCATCTTGATCATCTTTGTTTCTTAAAGCGGAGGAGTTAGCTTTGAAGATACATGTTATTTCATACCACACCTGGCAATTCATTTGTGTCAATGGTTTAGGTAACATCTCCTCTAACTCATAACATTAGCGGCACAGCAAAAGCTGCAGCGCAAACTGTTATTGCTGTGGTATGGTGGCATGAAGTAAAACCTTTCTTATGGTGGATTAGCAATATTGTAGTGCTTGTTGGCTCCGCTTGCTACACTGCCGTTAAACGGCAGGTAATGAATTCTTGAGTTT